AGCTCGGGCTCCTTACGGGGAGTTCGGGCTCCTTGCAGGGAGTTCGGACCGCTGGTTCCTCCTTCCGGAGCTCGCGCCTTGGCGTGCTGTTGTGCCGAGCCGTTGCCTTTGCCACATGTTGAGTGGTTACGAGGTCGGGCCAAATCTTCCTTCATCAATTGCCCCCCACTCCTCGTGCTAAGGGTCTTGCCCTGGCACGGGGAGTTCGCGAGTGGATTTGTCCCGTACTTCGAATTGGTCGACTGATAGCGCGAGGTGCGCGTCGTCAGGATTTTTTCGGGTTTCTCGAGCGCCAAAAAGATGGGAAATGCGCCAATCTGCCTATAAATACTGACAGACGTGACAGCGCGCGCCTTATTTCAAAATTCAAAAAGCGCGCCGCTGGGAGACGTGACAGCGGGCATCTTTTCAAATTTAAAAAACGCGCTGCTGCCGCCTTTAATGCGAGGAGACGTGCTCTAGCGCTCTTTTCAGTTTCAAGAGACATGTGGCCAGTCACGTCTCGGTCCCAGGAGATGTGCGGTCAGTGCGACTGCGGGCCATTGGATTGGCTTTGATCTGAGCCGTTGATTATCGGTTATTGTGGGTATAAATAGTGGGGGACCCCAGTCGCTGTCATTATCATGCATTTTGCTTCTTGAGCTCGCGTCCAAGTTTCAGCTCGCGTTCAAGCCTTTAGCTCGCGTTCACATTCCGGTAGTCCGTTTGCTTTTTTTCGGGTGAGTACTTTCCTGGAATCCTTCTCCTTCCGATGTCTAGCTCGGATAGTTCAGACGGTTCTTCAAGGGGGTCGGATGTAGGTTCTACGAACCGAGTTGCATCCCCCGACAGTCCTAGTGAACCTGAGGTAGAACTCGAGAAAGAGTTCGAATCCGTAGGCCGGGTCGCCTCGGGTAGTTTGGCGTCCTCTCGTCGAGGTCGAACGTTAGACAAATTTGGGCTCTCAACCATGATGCCTGAGGGGCTTCACTCTCTTATTACCTAGTTCAACTTGCCTAGGGAGTACACCTACTTCATACCCTCAAGCAGTTTCCCTTGGGAATACGGTCCTGATGAGATCGTAATATTCTGGGAGGAGCTCGTTGCAGGGTTGCGCCTGCCTTTCCACCCCCTCATTGTCGAGGTTATGAATCACTTCGGCGTTACTGTCGGCCAGCTTCACCCGAACTCCATTCGTAACTTGGTGGGGACAATCTCCCTATTTTGCGAACAGGTCTTGCCTTTAGACCTGGAGATCTTCTCTTCCATTTTAATGCTTAAGAAGCAAGCGGGTCCCCTTCCCGGGCGTAGGCGGGTGTATTACCTGTCTCCTCGCCCGGGTTTTAAGCTTTTACACGAACTTCCCAACAAGGTCCCGACGTGGAAACGGGACTACTTCGGGGTGTGAAGTGCATTGGGGTGGCCATTCCAAACCGGGTGGGGGATGGCCGCCCCTGACGCCGGTGTTACGCTTGATAAGGACATGGCGAAGGGCCTCTGGCAATGGGCACGGCTTGGGCTAAAATGCCATCATTATCTGACAGAGGCCAAGCTCATTGAGGCCGGTCTGAGTTCGGGTAGATTCCTTACTCAGAGGTTTGTCTTTTGTTTTGCTCTGTTCTTTCGTTTTTTTTATGCCGAGCTCATTTTGCAGGTGTGATGGAATTAGAGAGCACTCGTGGTGGGCACCTGTTTCACGGCATGAAGAGGAGGAAGCGAGTCGCCAAACGAACTCGTGCCGAGCTGCCCCGAGATGCAGAGCCCGAGGTACCAGACTACTCGTCAGTGGATCCGCCCAGGGAGCCCAAGATGGCCCCTCCAGTACATGAAGTGGCAGGGGCCCCTTATGCCGAGGCTACTTACACAGGGGCTCCCGCTTACTCTGAGTCTGCTTATACGCGAGCTGCGCCCTCAGGCTCGAGAGCCCAAGGCGAGTTCAAGAGCGTGTTTTCGCCGAACCACGCTCTTCAAAAGAGTAGGGAGGCCATCTATCCTGAGGAGGTCGCGACCTAGACCGAGCTTCCTTTGAACCGGGTAGCTTGTCGTGCTGCCACTCTTGCCATGGTGGTAAGTTAGATTTCTTGTCGGGCTCTTTGCTTTTGTCTTTCTTGTTGTCGTTCTTTTGATCATTTGTTCTTTCCT